TCCTGATCATTAACTACACACCTGTCCTGTATATCTGATACTGTGTCCTTACATTGTTTCATTTTTTGGTGTACACTTTCAATAGAATTTTTAATCTCATGGATACCTGACTCAGTCTTTTTCATAGATTCCATTTCTTTCCTATGTTGGGCATATATGTTTCCATCATTTTCCTAAGCTTTTCTTTTTCTTTTTTTTTCCTCTAAACTTTTCTATGTTGTTTTTATCTGTATCTTTTCTAGATTTACTAATCATGTCTTTTATGATGGCCATCATCTCTGAAGTTACCAGAGAAACTATTTCTGATTTGATTGTTTCTAGAGCCTCATTCATTTGCTTTGTGACTTCTACTCTTACTACTTTAGAGGGCCCAGGTGGGTGGCTTTAGGATTATTCTACTTCACTGTACCCTGGGTTTGTCTTTCTAAGACTGGGGGTTGCATCTTTTTTCCCCCCTCCTTCTCCCCGTCCCTTCCCTCCTCCTCCTTCCTCTTCCTCTCCCCCTCCTTCTTTGTCTTTCTCTCTAATTTATTTATAGAGTTTAATTCATGCACTGATACTTTTAAATTGTTTAATAGCTATTGTAATTGCCAGTACTGTGTACTCTCAGGAAATGACTACTCAGAGATGTCTTGCAGATGTGGCTGGCATTTGGTTTTTGAGTCTGTTGCAAGAGTACCTCTTCAATTTTATTGGGGGTGAGAAATAGCTAACTATTTGACCTAGCCCCTGCTTCTTTGGCATTGGCCTATAGCACTGTTAGTGATCCTCAAGCAATCTCAGTATTGTCATACAAGGAAGAGCAACTGATTAGAATAACTGTCCTACAGAAACAAAATATTAGTAATATAGCATCAAACACATCCTAGATATTTTTCCTAGTAAAGTATAAAACCAAACACGATTCTTCTGTATATAGGTGGGCAGCTCAGTGGAGAATAATTACTGAAGATTAAATACTGAGAGAAAAATTACTGAATAATTACTGAAGATTAAATACTGAGAAAAAAATTTCTAAGGTTGCTACCGAGGAAGTGTGATATCAAAGATATTGGTGTTATATCAGGGTTTTTTTTTTTCTAACTGAAATCCTGCATTTAAGGGGGAGGAAAAAGAGAAGGGGAGGGAAGGAGGAGACATGCCCCATCCTAACAGTCACAACAGTGTTACATCATAATAAGTTCCAGCAGCATAATCAACACACAGCTCTTACTCAATTAAGCAGGACGTCTGCCATTTATGTCGCACAACAGGAGCCAAGCGGCTCTCAACATGGCAGCATACAGGGGCACTACTGTTTTCACTGCTTAGATGGGGGACATTCTACAGCAAATCACTCCCCATTGTACTCTGGCCACTCTGTTATGCCTTCCTGGAAACAACACTATTGACTATAAGTCAACCAGAAAGCCTAGTAAGTTTGGCCCCAGAGCTAGGATTTTTGGCACAATTAATTTTGCAATTTATATTTTTTAGGACATCATTGCCTGTGAGATATTTGTTAGATTTCTTAAAATATGTTCTGAAACTCAGTTTTCATCAAAGTTAAGTATATTTTCTTTTTTGACTGTTAATTTCTTTGAGCTTTTAGTGCACTTGGATTGTGAGCCCTGGTGTAGATGCAGAAATGCACGCTTCCTCAAATGTCTGAGTACAGGAGTGTAAGACAGAAATAGCACTAACATCTCACGTGTCCCCACAAGTCCTGCAGAATATAATGTGGGGGAATGTTGTGACAAATGGCTGAGAAAAAGCCAACTTTATATGTATCATTAAAGAATGTACGAAAAGATGCAAATATATCTTCCTTATAATATTGCCGTCCTCATTTTTCACTGAATTCTCAGCCATGGACGCCAAACTGATCACCTTGACCTCTTGTACTTGTCAGAAACTGTTTGAAAGCTTTCAAGAAGTACAATGTGCTTCTCAGGGAATAAAGCAGGTGAGTTCTTCATAATCACTTCACACATTAATCTCTTTGCTACTTTCAAAGATGCTATGAGACCAGCACACGTTTTCTCCTCCAGGCTTCCTGGCCCCACCCACCCTGCTGGGTGTACCCTCCACGGTGGAGTCATCAGAGTGCCTTTGCAAGTCAGACTTTGCCACTGCACTCTGAGTTGGAGCATCTCCAGGCTAGCACATGGCAGAAAGCTCGTATGAGGCTACTGCCCTGGGCATTGAAGAGGAGTATGGTGAAGAAGCTAAGAACTCCTGAAGGAGGTGGAGGCCACCTGAGACCCGGAACAAGCAAACTGAGCATATAAAGCCTTTCATTAGTGTCTGCAATTCTCTCTGGGCTTTCTGGTTGCTGCTAGTTATGGTTGATCTTGCCACAGACATTCCACCCTATCAGGTGGAGGCTCCTTGCAGAAGAAGCCAAGTCCTACTGTTTGTAGTCCACCCCCAACATGGTCTCCTGTCCTGATAGCCAGTGGCGAGGGCTTGTTGCTGCTGTTTCTGGAGGTTAGGCTCTTGGTTGAGTTGTTCCACTGTCCCTTTATACCTTCATAAGGGTATTACTTCTACACACAAAGATGAAGGGAAGATGCACTGTACGTACTTGCCTAGTTGGACACGCCATAACCCACCATGCACAAGCAACTAGAAATTCCTTTCTAAAATGAAAAATAAAAAACCTGCTTTCTTGAGACTAATTTTCAAGTGGGATCACAAGGTAATAGATCAGTGGCTAAAAAGCTGTACCTAACTCTTGAATGAGATTCTTCTTTTCAACAAAGGACACAGTCTAAGGTAAGCTACACATCCTTGTGTGTCTCTCCTCTGCCTGAAGGACAACCTGCTGTCATCTTAATTTTGGATTAAAAACCCCACAGCTTGTATTTTTTCTCAGTCTGCCCCTTTGCTCCGGAGACCACTAACTCTTGCTTTAAGATCACTCTGAATGGACAGGCTTTGCATGCTTCAAACTTCCAAAGTGCCCCCATGCCCAGCCCACTAGCTTGTCCACGTGATCCCCAACCGCCCAGTCCTGAGTTTGCCCTACATAGCTATTGCGCACTTACTTCTAATGCAAGGCAGCCTCCTCATGGCTCAACCTAGTTGTTCCTTTGAATTTCACTTTGTAGTTTTCCATCATGAGGCAGCTGGTCCCCAGCTGTGGGCTGCCTTCCACCCCTTTTGAAGCTGGGGCTCCATCTCATGAGTGTCCTGATGATTTTGACTTGTTCCTCTCTCTGCAGTGCAGGCTTGTGGGATTGTCCCTAAGAAACTGCTCCCCTCCCAGAACCGGCCCAGCCTTCAACCCTTTCTTGACCATGTCCCAGACATGTTCCCCTCTGAGGGAAGCGAGATGCCAGCTGAGCTCTGAGCCTGGGAAATGATGTGAGCTCCCTGGTCTTCAGTGGGGTGCAGGGGACCCCGTCACATATGGCTTGGCCTCAGGTTCTCTAGAGTGACCTAGGACTTTTGCTCCAGGGAACTCATCTGCCAACCATGGTCCGCAGAGACTACGTTGCTTCAAAGTTCATCCTGGTTAGAAGCCCTCCATAAGGCCCAAATCTTAAGTTTTGAAACCAGGTAGGAACTTTTATGTTCTAGAGAGGTTGGAGTTGGTTCTTAAGTGAATGAGGTGATAGTTTGCTTCCCTAGACACTTGTGGAGTATTTGACATCAGTTTTGGGGCTCTTTCTGCTTCTCTCCCTCATTGTTTTTAAAAACCAAATTAAAAACAAATATTCTGGGTATGGTGGAACATGCCTGTAATTCCAGCACTTGGGAGGCTGAGCCAGGAGGATCTCCATGAGTTTGATGCCAGCGTGGGATACACAGTGAGTTCAAGTCAACCTGAACTATACAGCAAGACCAAAAAGAAAAAACAAAATTAAACCAGCACTGAGACTGATCAGATGCCCGAGCAGCCAGACATCTCCTCTGAAGCTAGCTGGCAGGATGTAAGTCAGCTTCTCAGCTCTGTGCTGAAGGACCAGCGTTAGAAATTGTTTTCAGCTGATTGTGGATTAATACTTTCCCAAAATACAAAATGAGCTGCTTAAAAACTCAGACATAAAACACAGACATACATTTTTGGATTTAAATAAAAGTACTCTATTGTTATACAAACTTTTTTTTGTGGCCAGCTCAGCCTGTCCTGGGGGTGGGTGGGGCTGCACGACGTGGTGTCGGGGATTGGACTGTGGTCCCTGCACTTGCCTAAGCTTGCCTACACACTTTAAGACCACTGAGCTATCTCACTAGCCCTATGATACAAACTTCTAAATACTCTCAATTTCTGCTGTTTCCCAATCAATTAAATAGTGCATAGACAGGCACAGAACATGTGCTCCAGTTTGAGTAGTGCTCATGAAGAGAGGTGCAAATGTTTACATGGAAATCTTTCATATTTGCAGGTCAGCCCATTTTCTGTGACAGGGCACAGTGCTTCTGCCTCTTCTCTGCTCATCCCACTTTGCTCTAAATATTAACCAACACCCACCAACTCTGCGTTAAACACTCTGCTTGTCTCCATCCTACTGCAGCTCACAACCACTGAAGGGAATGGGCATCGCTTCTGTACACCATCATTCTGTATGTCATCTCCCTGCCACAAGTGCCACCCTTCCTGCCCACTCTTTTCTGAGGAGCCTTGCTGGGCTCACAAGTGCCTATAGATAACATGCATGTTACATATAATGCATATCATGTGCATATAATGCAGTACATATAACATACATCATGTGCATATAATGCAGTACATATAACATACATAACACTAAAATATATAATTGCTATATATAATAGGATATATAATTATATTTATATGTAATGATATATATGTGCTTAAAATCTTACAATATACAAAATATATTGCATGTGTACATGTATTATAATGTACTTATCTAACATAACGCAAAACAGTACAATTACAGATAAAATTATGTAATTATATCTGTGTAATATATATACACCTTTGAACTGAAAATAAACAATAATGTAACATGCATGCAGTTGGGGGTACTTCTGCTGGCCCCACTTACCAGTGTCATTGGGGTACTTGTCACCCCTGGTGCATGTCCTCCCGTCCTCTGTGAGGATGTACCCTTCCCGGCACTCACAGCGGTAGCTGCCCACAGTGTTGGTGCAGATGTGTGCACACAGGGTCTGGTTGCTGGTGGCACACTCATCAATATCTGGATTGAATCCAATGCAGAGAACACTCAGTTTCACAGAAGTCACTTCAAATCCAGCAGATGACAGTGGGCTTGGCCCCTCTGCTAATTTCTGCAAAGGACACTGTCAGATCTTCACCAGAACAGCCTGGAATAAGGTCAGGTGTGGGAAATGTGAACCAGCATGACATCAGCATCAGGGCCAAGAACTGTTATTAAGGACATGGTGGGTGGTGTCCCTGACTGTCCTGTGGCTTGTTGTAGGCTCTACTAGCCTTCAGAGAGCTCTCCTGGAAAACGATGAAGCAGCCTGCCCTGGGCGCTTCCCAAGACTCCTCTGAGGACAGAATGAACATCAGTTGATGGCAAGACAATTGGAGAAGCAGACCTTAAATTGGTGGCTTTTCCCAAGTAGCCCAGGGTGCTGAGGCTTAACCATTATGTGTGTAGGTTCCAAACACCATGATGGTGACCCAAAGGTCACTCAGAAATGGCTCCTTCCTAGTGAAGACATACAATTGTACTTGGCAAAAGCTGCTCCTTTTAAAACAACTTTTATTTTTATTTATTTATTTGGTGCAGGGTCTCACTACACATCTGGGACTCCTGTCTCAGCCTCTCCAGAGCTGGGATTACAGGTGTGCACCACCATACACAGTTGTGAGGTTCCGGTGTGGCATGGCATGTGGTACTGGGGCTCGAACCCAGGTTCTTGTGCTTGTCAGGCAGGCATTTAGACCAGTGAGTTATCTCCCCATCCCCAAAAGCTGCTTCTAATAAAAGAAACATAGCCGAGCTAGATGGAAGGGAGAAAGGTTTCCCCAGGAAATCTTCTTCACCATGACCCAGACAGACCCCTTACGGGCTGTGGAAATGAGCCATGAGATCATCAAACAAGTAACCAGTGCAAGTCTGTGCTCACCATGCACATCACAGACTTGGTCCCTTGCTCCATGGGGGGAAAACAAAAGCAAGGACTGGGTTCATTTCCTGTTCACTGGCTCAAGATGCCAAGTTGCCCCAGACTGTGAACATGTGGTGGGGAGACAGTGCGGCCCTGCACTTGAGGATGCCAAGGCCTTCCCAGCCACTCCCTGGACGACCTGCCAAGGACCCGCTCTGGCAGGCCCCGGGTGTGCTAGGGAGAGTATGGTCACTCAGGCGCTCCCCTCACGGTCCATACCATGCCAACACAGGCAGCCTGGGGGTCCTTTGGCTTGATGCTTCTCTGCATTCTCTCAGCTATCTGTCTCCAGGTGTCCCTGACCTTAACTGTTCTGTGAGGCTGCCAGACAGAAGACATTTTTGGGTAACTGAAAACAAGTTCTGCTTCTCCTCAAACCTCAACTGACAGGAACACAGCCCAGTAGCTTCCTCAGTCCCAGTGCTTCCCATTCATATGAAGAGTGGGGGATCCTGTTTCCACCACTTGGCACTCTTGATTCCATTCTTTATCAGCGTGAGGGTGCCATTCCCCAGTGCTGTCAGGGGGAAATCAGGGAACTTATGATTAGACCTTCCATTAAATGGCCTTCCCTGAGCCCATTCTGGGGCAGAGAGGGAAGGCTGCTCATTGTGCTAGATTCTCACGTGGCTCCAGCTCAGTTCATTATCTGGAGCTCATCTGAGCACAAGAATCATTGGATATTTGTAAAAATGCACGTTCCCAGACCCAACTGCAGAGCTAGTGAGGCCAGGAGGCTAGGATGTGTCAATTAAAGCAAGGATCAAACTTCTGATAAAAATTAGCCAAGGCCCAGCCACACGCTGTAACATGACTGCTGGGAACCATGAGCCCCAAACCTGCCTGAGAAACCTCACAAGTGCACAGTGGGAAAGTGCAGGCAGTGAGGGCAAAGGGCGCAAGCTGGTGGCCACTGGCGGAGGCTGGACTATTTGCTCAGCTGCTACCCAGGTGGTTGGCTGCAGCTCCTTTTGAATTGCTTCCAACCTGCCTGCCACACAGGGACACTTCCGCTTTCCCAGTCATCTTCTGAGAATGCTTAGTCTCCTTTCGTTCAGTGTTTTTGGATGTCTGACCATTATATTCTATTTCACACTATTCTGGTTTACATTTGGCAATGTTCCTCTTTTTTAGCTGCTGTCACTCACTTCTGGTTAGGTTTTTGCTCAGTACCAGCTCCCTGAAGAATTCCTTGGATACAGTTTGATAGCTATGGATGAAAGGCAGTGAGAGACTATATGTAAGATAAGGCCAAAAACAATTCCATGTAATAAATGTGAGGGTACAAAGGGAGGAATCAAAGAGGAGAGTCCCTCCTCTGAGCTCCTCCTGTCCATGGAGAAGGTCCAACAAAGGACAGAGCTATCTGAACAAAGCTTGTCCTCCTGAGCTGGAAAATAATGTGCATTGCCAACACACCCAGGCAGTATGGCTTCTCTCGCTTCCGGTGTCTTTCCCGGTCATATCGGTATCCTGGGTAACAAGTACACAGCACTCGGCCGAAGTTATCTGTACACTGCTGTTCACAGGGAGCCTCAGCACAGACATCATAATCTGCAAAAAAAAAAAAAGTGTGAACTCACATCAACCACAGGAGGAGTCAATTACCTCGGCCCTGGCCTGGAACGGACTTTCTGAGCTGTACCGCACTCAAGGTCAAGTATGAAGTGTGAACAACTCCAGTCAGAAGAGCTTTAACTCTTGCAAGCCCTGGAAGCTTCTTCAACTACTGTAATGGTAACTTGATGTACAGTGTTCAGGTTGTTAAAAGCAAACACGACTGGTGCTGCTGTTCCTTAGGTCACCTCATTCCCTTTGGTCCTTGTCACTCTCCAGGGGACAAAGATGCGTTACCTGGGATTCCCTGGGGACCTGTTTTGTCTTTCTCACCACATGACATAGAGTTCCTTCCAGCAGGAGAAAGGTCATCTCTGATGATAATGTATATATAAAAATGTGAGAGCAAGAGCTAGGAGTTAGGCTTAGAGAGTATGAGGGAGGCTTTGAAAGGGGAAGGTGAGAGTTTGCAGAGTGATGGTGCTATTGCAATATTATAGGTCTGCATGGGTTGGGGGAGACATTAACCAAGGAGGCAGAGGAAGGGCTGAGTAAATTCACATCGTTAGAGATCTCATGCTAGCCCAAGGTCTGTGCACATTTGGGTGGGTGCTCTATTACTTGTAAAGAATTAGGGCATCTGCTCCTCTCAGTTTCTATGAACTAATATTTAATGAGCCTCTGAAGAGACTTTGGCTCTAAGTCAACAGCTCAGGCTGAACATTTGCTCCCAGACCAGACCCAGCATCTCATTAATCACTGCATTATCTCCCCAGGTGCTGACAGATGAACTCTTCCTGGACGCAGTGCAGGCCTGGCTCTGCTGTGCAGCACATGAAGGTAAACAGGTGGCCTGTCATGCACTGATGCAGGCGAGGTCACTAGGACAGGATTATGCCATTCTCACTAGGCCCTAGAAAGCTGCCTTTGCTACAAAGCCCTTCCTGCACCATTCCAAGCCTGCCTCTTTGGGTCCTACTCAACACTCCAAACTGTCTCTGGTTAAATATGTCATCCTCAATTAACAGTCAGCTCTAGGCCACCGAGTTCTGTGCTCCTTTTGCTCAAGAACAAGGACTTGGCATGGCCAGTAAGACGCTGCCTTATCCTACTATCACCACCATGGAGCCAGGGAAGGAGGGAAAGGCAGAGGGGCTAAGCACCTGCGGTCACTCTGCTCCCCAGCAAGTCCTGCTTCTCAAAGTTGCAGTTCCCAGTCTCCCCTGCCATGCCTGCTTCCCTGGGCCTCCTCTTCTGACTGCTTTCACATTCACCTCTCTAAACAGTCAGCTTGCATTGCTTTTCTGTTACTTTAAGCACTCAAAGTTGGTTTCCAGCTATGTGGAAGAGACGCATTTCAGCTTTTTCATCGTTTCCTATCCTCAGCCATCTAAACACCACACACTTTCTATTCTTCCATCTAGCCAATACTTTTATTAAAATTTTAGTTCATTTAATCTTTAGCATTTGTATTATCATGATGACATAAAAGCTTTTCTTGGGGCTGGGGAGATAGCTCAGTGCTCTAAGTGCCTGCCTGGCAAGCCCAAGGACCCGGGTTCGATCCCTGGCGCCACATGCTGTGCTGGCCCAGGAACCCTGGGCATGCCATGCTGGCTTATAAAACGGGGTACAGAGGTGCATGCCTGTAATCCCAGCACTGGGAAGACTGAGACAGGAGGATCACTATGACTCTGAGCTGCATAGCAAGACCCTGTACTAAATAAATAAATAAATACATACATAAATAAAAATGTTTTAAAAAAGGCTCTTCTTCACTGAGTGTGGTGTGGAAGTATAGTTTAGTGACTTTCCCTTTTGACATTATCTTATATATTTTGGGGTGCCAGTTATTTAACTTGGTCTATTAGCTTCAGACTCACCTGGCCTACTTTCCTGGGTTACTTTATGACATGGGACTTTGACAGTGATATTTCTTCTTGCCACCTGCCAGCCTACAAAATGCCGATAATAAGGGTGCAGGACTTTCCTGTACCATATAATGTCCCTACTTGTCTCTCCAGTCTATTCATGGGACATTGAAAATAGTGCAAAGAAGCCCCTTACACACAGCTTTACTGAGAGTGACCTGGTTGGTATGTCACAATGCCGGCTTGAGATGTTTTCCCTAGGTTGTCTACTGTGTCCAGAAACGTGTCCAAATCCTTGCCTGAGAAAGTAAGTCATTCTGGAGCTCAGGGGAAGGGAAAAGCCTGAGCGTCTGGACTTACAGTGTGTGAGCATTTACTGGGTGCTTCCGGGGTCAGTGTCAGACACTCACCCTCACCCCTGACTGTCCTCCCCCAATCCCAAGAGGCCCTGCTCTATCCCTCTGAAGACTGAATCTTTTGCCTGTTGTGGATTGGGCAATATTCTGGCTATGCGGCCTACAGGACACGATCTGAGAGTACAACTTCTTCCTAGGCTTTTAGGCAAACCTATTTTGTTGCCATTTCCAACCCCATTCTGTTTTTCTTAGCTTTTTGATTTAGTATAAACTCATTAGCTTCTTAATGCTCACTTGCACTGGCCAAGGGCTTACTGTTCCTACTCTGCTAAGTACTGACCACCTTCCGATCTATTTTCCAGCTTCCGAGATTTTGTCGCTGTTCTTTCCTCTTCCTTCCTTTATGACTTTGTGGTATTCTTTTTAATTTTTTCCCCATTATGTGAAGTTTCTGGTAGAAGTACAGTTAATAACTATTCAGCCCTCCAATTTTGATTCTGTTTTTCTAAAGCGCTATCAACTTTCTCACTACGAAGCTTTTATCTTTGAAATGTATCTAGTTTCTATGCTTTGTGTCCTACTTCTTTGGCACCATTCTAACTCAGATCTTCAGACTCTCCCATCTGCACAGGATTCTCAAGCCTTTACAAGCATTCCACGTAACACTTTCTGACTAACCTTCTAAGTGCTGTATATATCACCTCTGCTCCAAAACCTCTAAGCTCAATATAGGTCCAACATACCTAATCTGAAAATATGAAATCTAAAACTATTTGAGCATTTCAGATTTTCATGTTAGAGATGCTTAACCTGTAAATTCTACACATATATTACAAAATACTGAAATTATAAAACACGTCTGGTCCCAAGTATGCTATATAAGGGCTACTGAGCCTGTACTAAACAACACCAAACCTTCATGGTCTACTCTTACATTTGAAGTCTTCCATTATATTCCTTGAGATATTTTTTTCTAACTTCCAGCTCCTTGGACTTCAGAAACCCAACCTCTCTTCTTCATCTTTGATCAAAAAACATCTTTTTTTATTTCCATGCTTTTTAAAAAATGATTTTCTTGTTAATACAGGGTCTCACTATGCAGTTCGCACTCATAATAATCCTCCTGTCTCAGCTTCCCCAATGCTGGGATTATAAGCATATACCACTGTGCCTGGTTTTGGGGCCAGCTCAGAGTGCCCAATGTTCCAGAGTTGGCAAGACATGTGGTACCAGGAATCGAACTTGGGACTTTGCGCTTGCAAGGCAGGCACTGACTGCTAAGCTATCTCCCCAGCCCTATCTCCAGGGCTTTTGTCTATTGTTTTCACATCTAGCAATGTCCAATCGATACTTCAATCTGTACTCCCACACTTTATAATTATTGATATCCTATCTAGTATTTCAAGTGCCACTGTGAATGTTCCCCACCCTCAGCCTGCCTTGATCTCATCAGCTAAGGCTTTGTCCTTTCCACACTCACAGGACTTCAGCCCCTTTTAAACTCATATGCTCTGCCTTGTGTAAAAAATGCCTGCCCTCCCAATTTGCTGCTATCTCTGTAACATTGGGCTCCTTAAGCTTCTATTTCCTTCCCTGTAAAATACTGACAACAGTAATACCTACTTCATGCTGTTTTTTTTTTTTTTTAATATATCTTTCCTTTCAGATTTTATTTACTCTTTGAGGTTCTTATACTGGTGAGACAATATGATGTTTGCACATGGGGATCTGATTTATTTCACTTATGAGTATATTTGCATCCATTTATCTATAAAAACCTCCAGTTTG